AAAGAGGAAGACCCTCAACAAGATGGATTGACACAGTGGCTGCAATAGTGGGCTCAGACATAACAAGGACTGTGAGGATGGCACAGGACTGGGCAGTGTTTCATTCTGTTGTACGTGGGGTCCCTGTGAGTTAGAACTGACTTGACAGCACCTAACACCAACAAGAATCTAGAATAAGAGTGATTTAAGAGAAGCATCAACTAAATGCAATGCTGACCTGTGTTTGGATCCTGATTTGGACAAGCCAACTGTAAAAACAACAGTGGAAACAACAAGAAAAGAGACAATTGGGGAAATTTGAACATTGACTGGATATTTGGTGATATTAAGGAATTAAATTGTTGTTTTGGTAAAACATTTTTTTTAGAGACACATACCAAAATTTTATGAATGATATATGTCAAAGGTTTGCTTCAAAAGTGTCAGGAGAGTAGGGGGTGGGAGGCAGAGATGAAATGCAATGACCAGGAGTTGATAATTGTTGAAGCTAGATGATGGATACATGGTGTACTGTTTTCTCTCTGCCCTTGTATATATTTGAAATTTTCCATAATAAAAATTTGGTAAAAAAACCCTTGGGAAGCTTTAAAAAAATACTGATGCTTTTGAAACAGCTTCCCCGGGGATTCTAATGTGCAGCCAAGGTTGAGGACTGTTGGCCTTATAGCGTGTCCCTGGATGATCTCGTTTATGGCTTTAATGCCAGCAGTATGCTGACAGCTCCCAGATTTACATCTCCAGCCCTGACCTTTCCCTTGAGCTCTGGACTTGCATATTTGTCTGTCTACTTGACATCATCTACGTGGAGGTCGAACAGACATCTCGGCCTATTTGCATGGTGAAACGAAACTCTTGTCTTCCACCCCAAACCTGTTTCTCTCCCAGTCTTTTCTTATTTCAGTAAATGGCACCACCATGGAGCCCTGGTGGTGCAGTGGTTAAGAGCTCAGCTGCTAACCAAAAGGTTGGGAGTTCGAATCTACCAGCCGCTCCTTGGAAACCATATGGGGTTAGTTCTACTCTGTCCTATAGGGTCGCTTTGAGCTGGAATCAGCTTAACGACATGGGGTTTGTTTGGTTTTATCCATCCAGTTACAGATGATCAGTAAATGATTCTTCTGGAAAAAAAAAAAGTCACAGAACCATTGCTGTGGAGAAAGCTTCTCTGGCTGATCAAAAGCTCCTTGTCTCATGTGACTCGCCAGTTGTTAGGGACGGCAAGACATGGGGATGTTGCGTAATATTTGCTGTAGTCGACAGACTGTTTTAG